CCATCCGCAGGGGTGAGCGGAGGGGGTGGCAGCAGCAGGAAGGGGGTGGGAGGGGGAGATGGGTCCCCAACGCTGCCGCAGTCGTGGCAAAATACCTCTTGGTGTAGAGTTGGGTGGCACTGGCTTCGTTATGTGGAAGACGAGCCTTGGGTGGCCAGGTGATGCGTGAAGATGGTGGCACCCAGGTGGGACCTGGGGAGGGAAAGAAACGCAGTGCGGGGGATTAGAGGGAGGTGGGGAAACCCATGATAGAACAATGGAATAATTAAGGTTGGAAAAGACCTCTAAGATCATCAAGTCCAACCATCAACCCATCGCCACCGTGCCTGCTAAACCGTGTCCCAAAGTGCCACATCTACACGTGTTTTGAACCCCTCCAGGGATGGGGACTCCCCCACTGCCCTGGGCAGCCTGGTCCAATGCCTGACCACTCTTTCAGTACAGAAACTTTTCCCAATATCCAATCTGAACCTTCCCTGATGCAACTTGAGGCCATTGCCTCTCATCTTGTCACTAGTTACTTGGGACAAGAGACCAACCCCACCTGACTAGAACCTCCCTTCAGGTAGTTGTAGAGAGCGACAGGTGGGATGGAGACCCATAGGGATGACTGACAGCTCTTGTGCACGTGGCCTCCTTCCAGGCTGTATCGGATCATAGAATCATCGTATCACAGAAAGGTTTGGGTTGAAGGGGACCTTCTGGGCCATCTAGCCCAACCACCCCCCCCGCCATGAGCAGGGACATCTTCAACTCGATCAGGTCGCTCAGAGCCCCGTCCAGCCTGACCTTGAACACTTCCAGGAATGGGGCATCGACCACCTCTGGGCAACCTGGGTCAGTGCCTCACCACCCTCAGTGTAAATTCCGTCGTTGTAAAATTGTGTTGGAGCGCAGATGATGTGCTCCGAGGCTTCTCCCATTTCCCCTTTCTGCAGATCTTCAGGTCGAAAGGCAGATTTAACCTTCAAGAAGGTTCAGCCTCTTCAGGTCGAGTGGAAGCAGAGGAGGAGCTTTACTCTATTATCTATAGCTTTGTAATCGCATGCATTGCATGATTATCTCATATAGCTTTATAATCGCCCGCAGCCTTCTGCAAGGGACCTGCAGGCATCTCGTTTCAGCCAACACTTTAAACTGGGGGGATGCCGTGCATTGTGTGCACCCATGGGTGCTGGGTACGTTGCCCCTAAAGCCTTCCCCCTCTTCCCTACCTCAGGAATCCAACTCCGGAAAGTCCAGGAGCAATGGGAACAAGAGGCCAAAAAAGAGCCCGTGGGCAACGACGTGGCGACGATCCTGTCCCGCCGGATCGCGGTGGAGTACAGCGAGTCCGACGACGACTCCGAGCTGGACGATAACGAGTGGTCGGACTGAGGGGCCCCGGGGCTGGGCTGGCGCGGAGCTCCCCGGCTCCGTACCAGGTGTGTATAGGCGCCTTCCCCAACCCTCGACGCCAACAAGCACGGGCAGCCCCGCTCGTTCAGGAGCTTTGCTTTTACACCATGTTGAAAACCCTTCAGGCAGCAGCAGCGCTGGTAGGATACACCTCGGAGGCAGTGAGACCAGAAATTAGCAGCACCTTCACATTTAATGACTTCGAAAATGCTCTGAAGGTTAAAGAGGATTACTCCAGATTTACACCTGGAGCAAGACCAGAGACCGGCCCTGAGCATGCTTTGCTAGAGAAGGGAAAACCCAGAGGCAGTAGCGCTTTTTCAGCTCGGTGTTAAATGCGTTAACGAGAAGCTCCTGGAGAAGAAGCTTGACTGCACAGCTGGTGTCACCATGGGCACGCAAGGAGGGCCATGCACCGGGTGTGGGGATGTTCTGCTGCCTGCATTTGTAGGATCGGGCAGCTCCAAGGGCTGCGTGTGGGCAGGAGCCTCCTTCCCCAGGAAGCGTTGCACCACGTCTTTGTGACATTTGAGTAGGGATGGTCACCATCGTGCTGGTGCTCCTTGGAGAAGACCAAGGCGTTGGTGACCTGAGCCTGTTTCCATCCTTAGGACCAGTTTTCTGGGAGAAACTGGCAGTTGAGTCGGGATGGTCACCATCGTGCTGGTGCTCCTTGGAGAAGACCGAGGTGTTGGTGACCTGAGCCTGTTTCCATCCTTAGGACCAGTTTTCTGGGAGAAAAGCGTGAAGGCAAGGGGGAGCACAGTGCCTGTCCGGGCTTTGAGAGGTGCGATGTGTGCTGTCCTCGGGGAACAGAGATGGCCAGGGAGCTTCCCCAAGCCCAGCTCTCCTTGGCCTTAGGGCGATACTGTTTCAGTGTTATTTCAAAAAAAAAAAATTAGACAAAATGCTGCTTTTAGGTAAACTCTCAACTTGCACCGTGCAGCCCCACAAACTGCACCCGTACAATTGAGATCGACTTGGATCCAGGCACTAATCCCCTGCCCCGTCCCTCACCCCAGAGGTAGGCACTGATGGGGGAGCCGCGAGACCCCACCACGGTGCTGAAAATACCAGTTTGCTCATCAAAATAGAGCGTGACTCATTGAAGGCTGCGGAGGGAGGAGGCACGGGAAGGCGGAGCGAAGGGGTGGGGAATACTGAAAATATCAGAGTCAGGAGTGAGAGCCTGCCGAGAGCTGGGAGAGGTTTGCCACCAGCAGAACGTGGGCCAAGACCAGCCATGGACTTGCCTGACACAGTGTCCCGAGGTCCTCTCGTGCGTTCCCAAGTACCATGAGTCCCTGAATAGGGGAAAACTGAGTCCCCACCTTGCATCTCTTCTGGGGAGAAGCTGGGCTCTGAGCCCACCTCCCCCAGTAGCCACGTACGTGGTGGCTACAAAAGTAGTGTTTTGACTATCTATGAGTGCCCAGACCTGTGAAGAAGGTGGGAGGTTATGGCTGGGACTCAGAAGGCTCAAAGGCTGATGCTTAAATTCACCCTGAGAAATGCTGATGCTGAACGATGCCCCAGGTATCTGCTCGTTTTCCTGCCCGTGAGAAGCCCTTCGTGGCGAGATGCCATGAACCCCCCTGCCCAGCTGCTGAGAAGTATCCTCAGGAGCCCCGCTGCCTCTTGACCAGTTCAAAACGGTCTCTTGTCCCTTGGAGGTGACACCCCCTGCATCTGGGGTGCTTGAACGGAGGAGCAGCGTGGATGTGGGAGAGGGCAGGGGTGGCTGGGGACAGGTTGGGCAGAAGGGTTGCCCTGCCACAGGCCATGTCCCTGGATTTGGCCCCCCACTTTCCTTAGGGAAAGCTCCCCTTGCCTTCAGCAGGGCTGACTGTCAGAGCAGGAACTGCAAGTAAAATCCTTGGATTTAACCCCAGAATTCCCCATCTGGGCAGCACTGATGCTGTTTAAGCTGCTCAGGTGCTCATCCAGGGCAGGGAAGACCCAGCAGTATGAGATTAGCTGTGTGGATCCTTCCAGTTCCCACATCAGCTTCCCGGGAGGCTCTGTGCCCCCCATTTTACCGAGCTCCTGCCGTGGGTGGGCAAGAAGCAGCAGAGCAATAGGACACGTGGCATAGCTCATCTGCAGCACCTAAGGAATCAGGATTGACCGAAGGAGGCAGGGAGACATGGTGTCCTGCAGGTGACCAGGAAATTCCCAATGCTCAGTGATCATCAAGAGCTCTCATTTCTGATGACAGCCCTCCGAAATGCAGAGAACCAGCTGCCAAGGTTTTGGCCAAAGCCTGGCATCTCTGCCCGGGCAGCGAGCTCCTGCAATGGGCTTTCCTTGGCAAGGCAGCTGGGGTTTGACCTGGAGCAAGTTCAGAAGAAAGCCTTGTAAAAATTCAGAGTAACATTTAAGAGTTACCTGATAGTATTTATTGTGGAGTGTTGTTAATATGGATGCAATCATGATACTGTGTGTATGTGAAGAGAAATTTGATTTATGTGGATAATTTATAGAGAGTAATAACACTTTGTGAGAGAGAGACGAGCAGAGGGCTATCAGAGCTGACCTGCTGCGGTGGTCAAAGGGCTGCAGAGTTGGCTGTGGGGACCCAGGTGGGACTCAGGGACAGCCGTGGAGTCCCACCGGCACATGAAGGCAGGGAAGGGGCTCCGGCTCATCCCCTGGGTCTGTGACTGTCCCAGTTCCAGAAAGCTGAGCTGATCCTGGTGGGAACTGGAGAGGAGCCAAGAGCCCCTAGAAGACTGGGTCCCTGCTTTTCATGCACTGGTTGCTTTGTGTGTCACACAGAACTCTGATAATTTTTGTAGGACTCCATTGGTGTGTCAGGATTGTCCCTGTAGACCCCGCTTCCCTGTCATGTCACAGCAACTTTGCTATGCTTGGGATTGGCAGCAGTCAGCCAACCCGTGCTGCTATCAGGGTCAACGCCATTGCATGGGAAAGCACTCGACAATCACGGAGCTCAGGCCTTGCCTGCCCACAGGTCACATCCGCAGAGTGGATGCACAGCTGGGAGCCTCAGGGTTGTGGGGGGCAAGGCTCACCCTTGTTTCCTCATACTTTTACACCCTTACACCATCCTCTCCTCCTCAGGCATCCCAGCACACCCTCACCATTTGTGTTCTGCTTAAGGAAATTCCCAGCCCCTGACATCATGAGCCCATTTCACATGCTTAACTCCAAAGCAAGTCAGCAGGACCATAACTTCCTGGCATTGCCCATTGCTTGAAGACATCACAATGCAGCTCTTCCAGGGATCTGAATTGCCTTGGCTCCACTGAAGCTGACTTGATACCAGGGATAGGGCTGATCCATGGGTAGCATCTCCCCAGCGAGATGTCTATATCGGAGCTCGTTGCTCAGGTTTCTCATGTAGCTGGTGGAGAAGTAACCTGTGTAGTCAACAATGGCTGTAGATGTCCATTTCTGGTCCGATTGTGGTGCGTCTTGCTCTTCCCAACTCTCTTGTGGCAGCACTATGAGGCAGGCAAGCACATGATGGCACCAAGAGCCCCAGTCTCATGGCCACTCTGCTGGCAGGCCAACATCCTCAGTGCCTTTGCTCGAGGGACTGAGCCACATTTTGAGGATGACCATCTTTATTTTAGGTGCATTCATCTATTTTTTACCCAGGTGACCTATGAAATCCAGCACAAGTGATACCAACTGCTTGGTTGGTCTGGGTTAGCTCGGCTGGAGTTGGTTGAGCCGTACTAATTAACACTGGCTGTCTGACCCGTATGCTGTGCACTCAGTGTTTTGTACATATGTGTCTATTTCTGTATACTCTTCCAAAAGTAGGCCATGCTGCGTTACACAACCTGAAACGCTCAAATCCCCATGCAGGCTGATGTAAAAGTGAATATTTAAATATTTTATCTAGCTTGGCAACCATTAAAAATACAATTCAGGTCACAGATGACTGAATTTCTCCTCTCTCAAGTGTGCCAGAAGTGGGCTGAGGAGATCGTCCTGCACCTTAAGGTATCACGTTCCATGTTAAAATACAGCAGCGACATTTCATTGCCAACAGATAATCACAGAGTGCCAAACATTTAATAAGTCCAACCGATCTCCTGAGAGTTCCTCTTTCCATTTTATCCGCTTTCTCCTATTTGCCAGTTTATGGGCATAGACTAAAAATAATAAATAAGACTGCCAACAAGAGGAAGTATATTCTGTGTGCGTACAAAGGAATTGGGCCAGAGTCAGTGAAAGAGTAAATAAATCAATTTGATTCTGCTTAGAGGTATTAATGGAAGGCTATAGTCCTTGAGGTCCATCAGGAGCCTCTTAGACATGTCCGATTTATCTGAAAAAGGACATTATGGGGGCCACTGTGCCCACAGTACACCAGTCATTGCCTGCGAGGGCTACATCAGGTGTGAAGTCTGGTCTTGCTCAAGTTTCATGAAGGTTGGTGGAAGTCTAGCAGTGTTCGAGTTCTGGCATTGCACCTTCTGCGTCTCCTTGATTTTGAATAAGCATTAGAGCTAGCTGTTGATGTTGGTGGATCTTAGAGGACCAGCGTCCTGAAGGAAGGAGGAGGGATTGGGTAGTTTCTAACACACAGGGCAGAGACCTTGACAGAGCACTGGAACAGGCTGCCCAGGGAGGTGGTGGAGTCCCCTTCTCTGGAGATATTCAACACCCGCCTGGACAAAGTCCTGTGCAGCCAGCTATAGGTGACCCTGCTTTGGCAGGGGGGTTGGACTAGATGACCCACAGAGGTCCCTTCCAACCCCAAACATTCTGTGATTCTGTGAGACCTAGGGAGGAGCGAGCATCACATCCTACAAGAGCTCTTGCTTTTGTGGCTAGTTTATCCTGGGAAGGTTTTATTCTGGTGACAAACATAAGGCTGAACACAGCTTCTCCAAAGAGCTCCCTTCATGTAAGAGCCCTCAAATTTCCTCCCAGCAATTTTTTCCATCTCTTTCCGCCTTTCAAGACAACCAACAGCCTGAACAGAAGCTCTGCAGACTCCT